CCCCAAAACCCCAAAACCCCAAAACCCCGATATTGTGAATACATTGTGTAAATGTAGATTACATTAATAAAACTAAATTAAAATTATCAATCGAAAATTGCCTTCTTTTTATTGAGAGTGAACTTGCATCTATCAATCTTTTTTGCATCATACTCAGTTTAACTTATTGTGCCAGTCTTCATTGGAAGATTTGCTATGAATAACTAAATCAAATTTTAAAATAAAAAGTATTGTTACCTCATCCATAGGCTTGCAAAGCTCCTTTTTATTAATTTCTTTTGGTTTTTTAAATGTTTCATGAGAAACTGATTGCCCCATAAAAGGAGCGTCAACTAACCTATTGAGACTTCCTTATTGCATCTTTTAAACGCATTACTTCTTCATCAACTTCTCATGTTCTTTCATAAACTATGGCATTTAATCTTTATCTCCGCTAAAGGTTTCCTTATAAGTAGTTTTATCTTAAATTTTCATGTCAATAATGTGCGCTGATTATTGAGTTGGCTTCATCCTAGGGCCAGCTCCCCAATTCTGAAATGTCTTATTGTATGTTGTTGAGCCTATGAAACAAGGATGATTTAGTTCGAACATATCATCCTCATCTTTTTTATTTTCTTTTGGCATGACTTAAAATGGTTTAAATTCTGCTTAGTGAGTAGATGTGAAATCTCTTGCAACTTTATAAGGTACTTTTAGTCTTAGCTTTTCCTTGTCTAAATTAAATTCTTTGGATTTAGCATTAGGGTCGAATTTGCTATATTCATCTATATAATTTGACTTAAGATGCTATGGATATTTATAGAACAAGTTTTTATCCTGTGTTTTCATGCATTCACTGCATGATATACATCTACCTTCTTCCTATTTCAAGTATTCATTTATATCTGACTTCAAAAATTTCTAAGTGTTAAGCATATGAATATTAGCTTGAGATTTTCTGGTATCGTTCGTTATTGAAGCTCTAGATTAAACTTCATCATGGTTATGGTTATAATGACTTTGAGTATCAAGCTATTTTTTATAATAGTTATTTTCGTTCTTGTGGATGTGCTGATCTCTCTCATTTTACAAAAATCTTGATTGGGTATTACCATTTTAAGGGAGCTACTTTTAATAATTTTTAGGCTGTTCTGGGGACTTGAAAGATCCATACCTGTAATTTTATTGATAATTGTTTGGAATATTTTTCTAAGACTATGATTTATTTATTTGTGCAGACTATGGCCTCTATTGACTATTGTTTTGGCTAAAAATTAACTTGTAATTAAAATTACGAATGATTTATTCTTTGGTTAGTGTATTTTGATGGGAGATTAGTGGGTTATTGATTTTTTATGTTTTTTTGAGAACCAGAAACTTTCATGTTTTTCGTTGCACTTCCCTGATCTAACTTGGATGAAATTGTTTACTGTGGGCTTGAAAATTCTTTTCCATACATACTTGATAGCAACTATATCAGATTTCAATAGAAAGAATATACTTATTTTTATTTGCTTTGTAAGAAATTCTAGAGCTCCTCTATGTTGCTCATTACAGATAAATAAAATATTATTTTTAATTTAAGAATTAAGAGCAAAATTAATAGTCTACTTCAAATAATATAATTGAATTAATTTTCATTTTATTAAAAGCAATGAATAATAAGTCCTCAGTGATTGATAGATCACGCAATCAACTGAGAAGCTTAAACATGACTTTGCCTACTTCAACTTAGATGTCGATGATAAGCACTACTAGTTATAATTCCTAAACCTTTAAGATAAAATACCATGATGATATCAAGCGAGTTTCTCTGAAAATACCTTTTACCTACGATGATCTCATTCAAAAGTGCATTAGCATTTACCAACTTATAAAGAGCAAAGAAAGCTATTTCCTTTAATCTGAGGACTTAAATGCTCCGTTTATCATTAATGATGATGAAAATTTGAATTATTACGCTTCATTTCAGGAGGCATAAGGATAGAATTTGATAAAGCTAGTGCTTAATTAAGTTGATGAGGTAATACAACCAAAGCAACAATAGCTTGAGGCTTCTGGAGTTTTTAGCATAAAAGAATAAAATATAAAGAACTCTGTTAGTGAAGAACATGGTTAACAAGAATCAATTACACCTTACCAGCACATAATCAACCCTCAAATGATTATCAGAATACTTTCTCTTCTTTAAGAGAAAGGATAAGTAACTAAATAAGACGTATAAAAATTAAGTCTCTCAAATTCTTAAATGAACAGTGAGTAAGAACTGTCGAAAGTTACTAACCAAGATAGTTTGAATGTTATTGATCAAAGTGAGGTCATTATCTACGATATCCTATATTGCAATAGTAGTAAAAATTTGGTTAAGTCCGAGGGTGATATCACTCAATCTTACAAGAGCACCAATGTAACAATGAGTGAAAAGCTCAAACTCCAATAATCTATCAATGAGGCTGAGTTAAAGCTAAGCCAGTTGTAGGAAAAAGAGAGTTTGATGTATTTGAAAAGAGGTCAGAAAAATTTGAAAAATTAATATAATAGCTAGTTTAGGTATAGCTACTAAGGAAGTATTATGCAAAGTGGCTTTATGACTTAAAGAGGCCGCACAAACAGCGGCTAACTTGAGACTCCTAGACGCCAATCGTAAATGAGAATGTCATTTTAAAATAGATACTCAAATAACTCACTCAACATGAGTAAGGAGGAGCAAATTATTCAACAATAACAGCAGCAACAACAAGATATCAAGCATAATAGTTTTAATCAATTTAATAAAACAGAGTCAAATAACCAATAAAGTGCCATTAAATTGCAACTAAATACTAACAATGAATAGCTGCAGAGACTTCTCAATCAGCATAGAGATGATGACAACATAAGTTTGATTAGTAGTGAGATTAATACAATTCTAGAGAAGAATGAGAGCATGGAAATAAGCATGATTTTGAACGAGAGTAACATAAATTAGAGTTACATGAAATGAAAATGATTAATAATGGGTTATAAAATTGTCTTTAGGAGCAAATGTTCACTTAATATGATAATAAAAAAGTGAATATGGATTTTAAATAAGTATATATCTAATGAGTATTATTAATTATAATTGCTAAATACGCTTTACTTAAGAAAAGTGTCTTAGTGATGTTAATGTCTTAAAAAATGATTTAGATTATAGTCAGAATCTATTTTGAAGATTAAATTTTTCCATCATTAAATCTCAGCCTTATGAAGTTCTGAGATATTAATTTTGACTATATGCCCATTGAGGTTATTCAATTCTCTAGACATAATAGTTTTTTCTCCAAGCCATCCAGGAGTTTGAAGCTTCAAAGTTGTCTTATAGCCAAGATGATTATAAGTAAAGCATTCATGATAATTTGATGAGCCTTCACATATGAGATCTCCATCAGCATCATACAAATTAAAGGTAATTTTCTTATCTGTATTTGTGCCAATAGCAACTTCAAAGTATGTGAATCCATTCAATCCTTCAACTTAGTCTTCAAGATTAATATTTGCTTCAATTGATTAGTCATCAGATTACAATGTGATGACATTATTTTATGATTTTTTGGTCAAAAGAATGCTCACTGTTTTGCCATTATGATCAGAATTATTGGTGAATAATCTAATATAGTTTTTCTGAGTTGTATCAATTTAAAGATCGTTGACTGGAGAATTATTTAAAAGAACTGAAAGCTTATATCCTTATGAATAGTATACTTCTTGATTGAAGAAGACTTCTGTTGGAGCTTAAATTGATGTATTTAGAGTATAATTGGCAATAAACGTCCCATTAAGATCAGCATCTGTAAAAAATTGCATTGAAGTTGGAACTCCTTAAATAGAATGCAAGAATGATCTTTGGAGTGCTAGCATTTTGTACATTTATATATTGCCGCTTTCATCATACATCCCTTCAGTCATTTTACCAGTAGTTGTGAAGTCTCCAAAACCCTTAAACATCCAATAAGCCCAAGAACCAAGGTATTTATCAAATTATTCTGCTGCTGAAGTAATTTCATGGAAGCATGACTCAGTATTGGCACAAGCTCCGAATTCCGTGAAGAACATTGGAACTCCAAGTCTTTAAGCATCCTGATTTCTCTTTTGAACCTTGCTAACATGGAATGCCTTGCAAACATCTTTCTTAGCTAGTGGGGGTTCACCTGAATCACAAATGTTTGGATCTGATTAGCAGCAATAGGTGTGATCATTAAGAGTTTCCATATGGACCTAATCTTTGCCACCTGGTGTCTCTTAGAATCCAATACTTGCTACTATACCTCCAAATAATGGGAAAGTATCTGGGAATTATGCTGGTTCAAAGAAAACAATTTTCTCTTAGTCGTTCTATCTGATTGCTTTGCTTAATCTTTAAAGCATTGGAAACAAGTATTCTGTATCAAATTTAGTTTGTCTATAGAAAAGGGAAAATTCCTTGTAAAAATTAGCAGGCCAGGGTTCATTAATTGGATCATATCCAACAACATACTAGTTGGTTGCAAATTTCTTAGAGACAACATCCCAGAAATCAACAAATCTATCTTAAATACCGTTTTTATTTTGATAGAGACCTTCGAAAGAAGAACAGACTTCTGGAGAGGTGTAGTATTTAATAAAGGTGGTTTTTAAGCAATCATCCAAATTTCTCCAACCTTTCTCGTCTTTTCTAATACCATAATCATCAAGAGATTTGCATTCTCCAAAAAGCTTAAACAATTAACCTGGGATGTTCATTGGACACTAATTGTCAAGCTCAGTGGCATAGAAAGAAGGCATTCCCTCTCCACAAGTAGCTCTCGAGAATAAATCTTAGTGCGCGTCTACCATAGTATAAATTCCTTTTTCTCCCATTCTGTTGATCAATTTGTCTACCTCATCAAGATAAGTCATATTGTATTATCTTGGTGCAACTTCTACTGATTCCCACATTACTCCCAATCTTACAAGGGTCATTCCCCAATCAACCATGTCTTATAAATCCTTATCACTAAGTGATAAATGTGGATGGAAAACATCTTATTAAGGTAAATATGGGAAGCCTTTAACCACAACATTTGTACCGTGGAATATTCTAGTTCTACCATACTCATCCCTAAAAGATCTTGTCGCTGAATCTATGGTCAGCTTTTAGGTGCTAGCAACCAGGCCAACTAAGCTTAGTAAAAGGATATTTTTATACATAAAATAATATTATCTAAGCAAAATGATTTTCTAAATTAATAAGAGGTTTTAATAATCTTTTTTATATTTATAGATCTTAATAAAACATGGATTAAATTTTCGGCAAATTTTATTTCAACAAAAACCTCGCTTTAGAATTCTCTAGATACTTCGATTACAAAATACTACTAAAAGTTCTAGTACTCAATAAGAAATTCCACGACATTTACGGAAATGATATGATATTATGGATCGTTTTATAGAACTCATTCCCTCAAATCAGGTTAGTTAGGTTTGTCATCATTATTTATTCTGATCAATATATCTTAGATGCGCAGAGAACTTTTTATTTTAGGATAAAAAACTAGACAAGCACAGTGCTGCGAAAGCATTTAAGGAGGTGCAGTAATGTGTACAGTAACTAAATGCAAATCAAGGCTACAGAGTTCCAGACTCTCATCACTTTTTAGTTCATGTTTAGGGACTTCTAGGAAAGTTACCAATTACGGATGATATCAAAGCTACTTGTGGAACTAACTTCGATTTGTTGAGTGCTTTTTAGACATTCTTTGTCTTTGAGGGAGATATCTATGCCTTAACAACTTATTCTTGCCCTTTGGAGAAGTATGGATCATTCATGATGAATGAAATCGATTGTTTCTTAGTTTTAGGCAACGAAAATTTATATCTCTCGAGGAAAGATTGTTAAGAGACTTAGAAAATGATTGCAGAGAAGAATTTGAATAATGTTGTCATGCTATTAAACGTAAGCTGTGAAAAAGATCATGGTATGTGGGAAGGGTAAATGGAGAATGAATTTAATAATAAAGAGAAAAATGTGGGTGGAGTAGAGAGCTTAAAGCATTATATGATAGAAAAAAATGAAACAGTAGTCAATGTAGATTTTCTTAGTCATCACAACATCTCACTCATTTTTAATCATATTCTTAAAGCTTGCATTCTAAATAGGAAAAATAAAGGCTTTATTACACCTAAGATAAACAAAGTATGTAAATAATTTTATGACGAATCTTATATAGGGAGCAAATTAGGATCAAGAAGAGGAATCTAAATAACCAGAAGAAAAAGTCAATAAGAAATGTTTGATATTCTGATAAATTATCATATTAATTATTGTTAATTTATGAAATATTCTCGATGTTCAATAACTTCAGGGGTTTTGGGGTTTTGGGGTTTTGGGG